TTGTTTTCAAATTATTACTGATTTGATTTTTAATATGTTAAAAATAATCAGTCCAAATTTTCAATTTTAACCTATTTTTTTGGTTCTTTAAAGTTGATGAAAAATTTTTGATAAATATTTATGAAAGTTTATAGTAAAAAAATTNAAAGATTTATGAAAGTTTATAGTAAAAAAAATTGAATATATTACCATAACTTTTAGCTCAATTACAAGTTTAAAACTGACATCTAGGCCAGTCAACAAAGGAAAAATTTCTTAAAAAATTCCTAACCAAATTTTGTTTTATTAATATTTGAATTAAAATATGTATAATGACATACTAATAGTCCTCATTGATTGAAATTGAGCATTTTTTTTTACAGCCTCGCAAAAGTTCAAAAATATGAGTTTATTTATTTTTCTCAAAAAATATTTAACTTACAAAAAAAGTTTCGTACAAAAGTTGTTTAAAAGACAATTATTAACAAAAAATTATCTTATATTTTTTCATTTAAACAAATATTTTTCGAGTTACATTACATTTAATATGAGTAATAAAATTTATATTCCATTTTTTTCATTTTACGGTTACTTTTTATCATGTTATACTTACATTAGACACAATGTTATAAATGCATATGTGTGTATGTGTGAGTTTATTTATTTAGTGTATCATTAAAGTGTAGTGTTTATTAACATACAAGCGATAGAGTAGATAATTGATTTGACGCTATATTGTTTAAACCCAACTAAACGCTAAATTGTACATTCCCAAACAACAATCATATTATGTCAATTGCCACCGGAATTTCTGGTAATCTTTTTCTTTTTCTTTGCCTTAATCCCAACTACTTGGGGTCGGCCACCCTTATCCTAAGCTTCCACTTGACACAATCTCCCACATATTCTACGCTTATGATTTTTAGTTTCACCTGAATTTAACGATGGATTTTTACAATTATAATCAAATTTTATAATACGCTCAATTGAGTAAATCTTTTTAACAACTTTGTTTTGATTGGTTCATGTAGTTAAAGTAAATCATTAAAATTAATTAAGTTCTGAATATTACCATTGTAAAATCTTTTTAAACGTCAAAAGTTAATTAGAAATGATTACTATGATTTGTCTTTAAGTGATCTATTACGATAAAAATGTAAAAAAATCTAACTTTNTCTGATTCAATTGAATCTATAGAAAAAAAAATTGAAAATCATAAAATATTAATGGATAAAGTAAATGAAAACCTTGGTTTTGATATCAGTGAAAAACACATTGTTCGAATAAAAGAAACACCGGATTGGGATGATATATTGATTAATGAGGTTACAGATTACTTTAAAAAACAAATAATAAGTTTACCCCCCCCTGTATACTATTTGTCAGATAACGAATCTGATACAAAATAAAATCATTGTCATTTATCATTAAATAAAACTGTATTGATTAAAACATAATCATTTAATATATAACTATATGTTATGTATACTTTTAGAATATTACTTAACGTAATAATTATAAGATACTTTTACTAATTAATATAAAAATAAAAAAACAAACTGTGTTTTTATTTTATTTTAATAATACTCAGAGGTCATTGTATTGATAACTAATAATGTAATACATCTCAAATCTTCCAACAGTGTTTAAATTTTTTGTCGTTTCTGTAAACTAAAATAAAATAAAATTAAAAAGTGTTTTGTCAATTGATTCTAAATTAATAGTCATAAGCTTGGCGAATGATATAAGTATATACTCATATATTATTTTTAACGCTTTAAAAAATTGTTATTTCAGGTAAAAAATAAGTTTTTTTATTATTGGTACACTTAATGTAATTAGAGCCAATCATTTAGATTTTGCCTCATACTAGTTTTAAGGTAAACATTACAATAATTACAGAGGCGTGCACTGAATGTTGGTTGGTGTTTGCTACCAAAGTAAAAAGAACTCCCTAAAAATGTTATTTTTTTATCATTGATAGAAAACTTGTGTGACAGGCTAATTTTTATTTCTTCTCCCTGAATAATCGTTCGCATTGTTACATTAAGATATTTTAAGAAAAATTTTATGGAGGCTTCTCATAGAATTTAACTACCTACACAAGTAAAATATAAAATATATAGTAAGACCTTTCATTTTTTTCTACGACCCACAGTGGAATGAAACGCTGATTTAGGCGGCCAAAAGTATCATTTTTTAAAAGTCACTTAATTTTTTTTTTTTTAGCAAAACACATTAATTTCCATTAGGACACTCCTCCATTTTTTTCTTTAGTATAAAAAAATAATATTCTAAAAATTTAAAATCATTTGGAAAAATTTAAATCGAGGTGCACAGCATTTTAAGGTTTTGACCTCGATTTTTCGGAGAATATTCTATAAAACGATAAAAAAACTTATATTAGAGGTTTTCTAGTGATTTTTTCAATAAAAGTCAAGATAAAAGAACCCAGTACAGGGGGGTCGCGGCACAGTAGTGACGTGGCATAGTTGGATCAAGTATTATGATATTTGACAGTGATTAAAATCACTATCAAAAAAAACGCTTCGATGCAAATCATAGATAGTGATTAATTTTAAAAAATTGGTGGATTATTCCANTTAGATAGTGTTTAATTTTAAAAAATTGGTGGATTATTCCAAAAGCTTCATAAACTGCTAATTCCTTATTAATATCTTGATTAAGACAAAGTATGTCGAATGAAAAAGGAATTATTAAAAAATATTATTTCTCATAAAAAAATTATGTTGATCCATAACCTTTTCAATAAATTATATCATTATAATGTTAAAAATGTAAANAAGTTATAGCATTATAAAGTTAAAAATATAAAAAAGAATTTTTAATTGAGAATTTTCACACAATAATAGCATTTGGTAGCCATTTTCACCTTGAACATAAAATAAAGTCCGAAATTTTTTTTTTGCATAATAAAGTACATTATATGAGCTTTAATTTAAGATATATATAAAAGTGTCAGACCTTTCGGAACATTTTCAAAAGTTAAGTTGAAAAAGTTCTACATTCTACGTGCATTTTTTAGATTTAAACACCCCTCGTATATAGGTAAATGGTTGGATTTAAAAAAAAAGTATGTCAAATGAAAGATGTATATAAATACTACTTCTCATGAAAAAATTGTACTGATCCATGAATTTTTCAAAAAATTATAGCATAATAAAGTTAAAAATGGAAAATACAAAATCGAAAATTTTCACACAAAAATAGCATTCGGTAGCCATTTTCACCATGAAGATAAGATAAAGTCCGAAATTTTTTTTTTTATGATAAAGCATATTACATTAGCTTTAATTTAAGATATATATAAAAGTGTCAGACCTTTCGGAACATTTTCAAAAGTTAAGTTGAAAAAGTTCTACATTCTACGTGCATTTTTTAGATTTAAACACCCCTCGTATATAGGTAAATGGTTGGATTTAAAAAAAAAGTATGTCAAATGAAAGATGTATATAAATACTACTTCTCATGAAAAAATTGTACTGATCCATGAATTTTTCAAAAAATTATAGCATAATAAAGTTAAAAATGGAAAATACAAAATCGAAAATTTTCACACAAAAATAGCATTCGGTAGCCATTTTCACCATGAAGATAAGATAAAGTCCGAAATTTTTTTTTTTATGATAAAGCATATTACATTAGCTTTAATTTAAGATATATATAAAAGTGTCAGACCTTCCGGAACATTTTCAAAATTTAAGTTAAAAAAGTCAATTTTTTGTGAAAAAGTTGTCATTTTGAATCCCCCCTTGTGGGCAGCTTAAGGGCTNAATCCCCCCTTGTGGGCAGGTTAAGGGTTAAATTTATGAAAAAAATATACCAAATGAAAGGTAATGATATTATGCATCTATATAAAAAAGAATTATATTGATATGTTTATTTTTGAAAAAGTTATGGCACTTTTAAGTAAAAAAAATTGAAAAAATTTCGAAAATTAGCGATTTTTAAATTTGTAAATTTTTTGGAGGTTTCCCCCTTTTACGGGGAACGAGGGAATTTTTTTCAATTTTTAAGGGTAATGGCTTCGACTAGATACGATTTGTGATCTTTTGACGTATCATTGAAAGAAATCGGTTCGGTGAGAGCTGAGAAAAAGTGGTAACAGACANCTTTTCAAATGTTTATACTGACTTGAATATAAATTAATTAAGTTATTAAGTTGAATTTTATAGCATTGAATAAAATTTAAAAATAGCTTTAAATTAAAAAAAAAAATTTTGCTTTACTAAATTTGTTAATCTTTAATTTTATATATCTTTTTGTTTTTTTTTTAATTTAATTATTTGATTATTTATAGTATTTCTTTAATACCACGAGTATCTTTTCTTTAAATCAATTTTAGTTTTATAATATTCAATCAACACATGACCATTTTCGCATTTAATCATAGACAAGATCGATAAATGTTTATCTTATCTTGTGTTGTATTAGTTGTATTAGTGTTCGTTAAACGATAACCAAAAATAAATTTATACAGGAATAGTATTGCCTGCGTGTGTTGAGCGAGGCGTGGGGTGGGGTGAATGCGTTATGACAGTCTAATCTAGACGACGGAATATACGATAACGCGTGGCGTTTGGAGAGTTACATACATACATACATACNAAAAAAAAAAAAAACATACATACATACATACATACAGGTGAAACTAATATAAGCGTGTTAATTAAGTTTTTTCATCAATTTTAATTGTGGTCCCTCCGAACTCTATTTCTAAATTTCTTAGCAATTATTATTTATTTAATAGTATAATATTATTAGAATATGAAAATATAATTAAGTTATAATATTTTCATATTCTTATGTATTTTTAATTACTAAATGACTCATTTTTATATATTTTAATGCGTTAAACGTTGTACAGTTTTTTATTTTGTTTAAAACTCGATCAATTTGTTTTTTTAAGTTCTCCTGATATTGCGATTACGACATCTTGTTTTCAAAGACATCAGTTTCTCGCTGCAATGACTTATCGTAGTAATTTGATAAGTCTTGATTTAATAAAAAGCAGATTCATTACTCATAAAGTCATTGATAATTTTGATAAGAAAAATATGTTACCCCATTAACTCAAGTGTTGGGAATTATCTTGACCAAAATAATGCCCACGAAAAAAAGGTAGATGCTTTAATAAATAATTAGTAATATATTAAACTTTAAAATTTATAAGCTATTTGTAATTTTGCTATTTTTTGTTACTTAAACATGTACCTGGTACATAATGTACGTCAAACTATCTAAATAATAAAATTTATTTATGGCTGTTAGTCAAAGCTAAATTGATATATTAAATTACTATTTAAATTCAAATAACTTCCAATTTAAAATAAATTAAATATACTTATTATTGAATTCCTTAGTATGTGATGCTAGTATAATAACGTACAAAAATTATATAAATTTAATAATAAAAATAAAAGTTTTTCTTATAAGACATTTTTTAATTTTTTTAATTACAAAATATATTTTATCAAATTTTTTATTGTTTTTATAATTATAACTACAATATAAAAGAGTTAAAATAATATAAAAATTTTTCTGAGTACTTGTTACACTAATTCATTAGTAAAAATATCCCGAAAATAATAATCCTTAAAAACCGCTGATTACGACATTACTATAATAACTTTAATATGCAATAATTTATTGAAATTTGAGGTCAAAATAAAATTTTTATTAATTCTAATTAAACAATTTTTTATAGAAATCTATAATCTCTTAGTATAGAAGGAATTTATATATGAAAATAACATTCATTCAGACTTATTGATTAATTATCGATCACTAGATTCTTTACAAATATTAAGAAAGTTGTGAATTTTTTAGCTTATTTAATATATTATAATATTTGACTAAATAATTAACAAAAATGTTTAGGTCCATCCATTGTGCCGTATTAGGGTTTAACTATTTCATTTCAAAGTGTAACAGACACTTTTATTTAATTGAACATGGTATAAATTTATCCAAACAGTAATATATTATTGGACTTATTCATGTGGTGGGGGGTGGGGGTGAAAATAGCCATGTTTCTTATTTATTAGGTTTAATGCATAGTTGAGAAGGTATCACTGAACCGATTTTGATGAACAATATGTCAAAATATCAAAAATTTTAACTAGTTGAAGATATTACCCTTGAAAATTGAAAATATTGCTCTTGTTTCACGTAAATGGGGGAAATCTCCAAAAAAAATACAATTTAAAAATCAGTATATTTTGACGTTTATTTTTTACTTTTTTTTCTTAAACTTTCGTAACTTTTTCAAAACTTAATGAATAAACTTAATTTTCTTTTATTGAAACTTTAGATATTTTCCTTTTATTTGATGTCATTTTTTTGAAGATCTAACATTTAACCTGCTCACAAAGGGGATTCAAAATAGCAACTTTTTTACAAAAACTAACTTTTTCAACTTAATTTTTGAAAATGTTCCGGAAATACTGCATCCTTTACACACATATCAAATTAAAGCTTATGTTATGTACTATAAAATGAAAAAAAAAATTTGTCCCGACACCTTATCTTCTACTTAAAATCGACTGCTATAGTTAAAAAAAACCAACACAGGGGTGTCGCGGAACAGTGATAACGTGGCATAGTATAATATAGCAAGTATATAGCGGCACAGTAGTGACGTGGCATAGTTGGATCAAGTATAATGATATCTGAGAGTGATTAAAATCACTATCAAAAATAAACGCTTCAATGCAAATCTTTAGATAGTGTTTAATTTTAAAAAATTGGTGGATTATTCCAAAAGCTACATGATCTGCTAGTTCCTTATTAATATCCTGATTAAGATAATATATGTCGAATGAAAAAAGGATATAAATATTATGTAGCATAAAAAAATTGTGTTGATCCATACACTTTTCAATAAGTTATAACATTATAAAATTAAAAATGTAAAACATAAAATCCAGAATTTGACACAAAAATAGTATACGTTGGCCATTTCACAGTGAAGACAAAATAAAGTGCGAAATTTTTTTTTTCCATATAAAGTACATTACATTAGCTTTAATTTAAGATATATATAAAAGTATCAGACTTTGCGGAACAATTTCAAAAGTTCAGTTGAAAACGTTCTGCTTCCCATATGTATTTTTCACATTTGACCCCCCCCATATATATAAGGAATTGGTCCAATTTAAAAAAAAAATATGTCGAATGGAAGATGTGTATAAATACTACTTCTCATAAAAAATTGTATTAAGCCATACATTTTTTAAAAAGTTATAGCATTTTAATGTAAAATATAAAATCGATAATTTTCACACAAAAATAGCATTTGGTACCATTTTCACAATTCTAAAAATTCTATTCGTATAATTAACAAACACTATTTATTCAAATAATAACAAATACTGATAGCTAATAACTATTATTAACTATTAACTATAACATAAAAACAATTAAGGAAAAATTGTAAATAAATCATTGCGATAGGCAATGTAATTGGCTATTTAAGCTGATTTAAATTTTAAAATTAATTTTTTTACTAAGAAAAAAAATATTAAAATAATTGTAAAATTAAATTCTATGTCAATTATTATTTATATAATATTCATGAAAATCAATGTACCCTCTTATAAGGTATTTTAAAATAAATTGAAATATAAAACCAAGAATTTTAACACATAAATAGCATATTTTTGAATGTGATAACCTGTTCACTATATCTCGAATTTGTTTTTTTTTCACAGTATTGTATATTACATAAGCTTTAATTTAAAATTAAACAAAAGTCTCAATATTGCTGGAAATTTTTTAAAAATTGAGTAGAAAAAGTTTAACTTATGTGTAAATATTGTTATTTTGAATCCCTTGTATGGTCAGGTCAAAAGTAAGTTTTTCTAAAATATATATCAAATAAAATAAGTAAACATAAAGTAGTTATGAAAAAATAATTGTATTGATCCACACATTTTTCGAAATGTTATGATAATTTAAAGTTGACAAAATAAAACATGAAATCGTACATAACATTAGCTTTATTTTAGCAAATGTTTGAAGCTCGGAATATTTCTGGAACTTTTCAAAGTTTTTTATTTATCATGGAATCAAAATGAGGAAATCCGTCATTATTTTATAAAAATCAAGTGACCCCTCAACTTGTATGAGAATTTTGTGTGAAATATCAGGATATGATTAATATTTTTGTTGTTTATATAGCACCTCTGGGAAATTATGTTTATAATTCCAATACGCGTAAAATCTAAAGCAACACGGAAGTCATCTCTAAAAGGTACGTTGGGCCAACTTATAAGTTTATACAAACCCTAGTTTATAGATATTTTAAAATTATTAAAAAAAATATATTAACCTTTTGATTATATTATAGTAAAATTTTTTTTTTTTTTTGATTTATTAACGTAGTAAATCTATTAGCTGATCGAAATGAAGTTCATGAAAATTAACATTGCTCTATTGAAAACCATTATGAATTGATTCATATAATAGAATATCCAATATTAAAATAAAAAATATAAAATTAAACATATTTTATTCTTTTGTTAAAACTTAATAAATTTGGATTTGGTTCTTGCGATATGCTTTATTGATACAAAGTATTTGTAATCGAGTAAAAAGATTAGATAAATAACAAATTATATGCACAATATTTCCAAAGAAAATTATAGCACTATTTAATACATTTTAAGATCAATAGTGTAATATTCTAACTTTTTTTAATTGATAGAATCAAGGATTCATCTTAGGTCCATTTTAGGAAGCTTAACACCAACATTAGATTTAATTAATTTTTTTTTAACTTCGAGTTTAAAAAAAAATATCTAAATAGATGAAATTACATAATAATTTTTAGATTAAATGAATTATTGAAGTAACAAAATAAAAATAATCAATAAAAGTAATCTTCATTGTTTATTTTTTTGCTGAAGAAAGTGATATTAATTCAAATTAATTACAAAAATAATATAGAAATCATAGATTTCACCATTTTATTATTTTGATATTTTACATATGTTTTTTTCAATTATTTCAAAATATGTTTGTTAAAAATAATCAAATAATTAACAAAAGATTATTACCAAACGAAAATTTCAGTTTTAATAAAGTATTCCTAATTACCTTTTAAGGTAAACGAATAATTTTGATAAAAAAGTTATTTCTGGAAATAAACCTACTAAAAATATAATTAGTTAATAGCTAATATTTTACATAAGCTAATACTTAATAATAAGTTATTAGTATTAAATAATTGATAGCTTAAATAATTATATTATGTAATAACTCAAGGAGGTATTATAATATAAAATTAAAATTATATTGATTTTATAAAACACACATATAATTTAAATTATCCATTGTGATATATAGTGATTTAAATCTGAAATTAATTGTGTAAATAACTTTAAAAAATAATTTAATTTTGAAATATATTAACTAATGTAAAGAGATATCATAATATTGTAAAATTTTGGTATTTTATAAGTGCGTTAAATTCCGTTATTATAATGGTTTACCTCCAGCCATCTTTAGGACACATTGGATGTGTTATACAATTTTTAATTAGTCCTCCGAATATTACAACAAAAAAATATTTAAAGGCAAAATTAATCTAATAACCTTCGATATACTCCTGATTAATTATTAAGTAAATTTTTTTTAGTAACTGCTAGTACAACTAATTATAAAGAAAATATTTCATATATATATAACAAGAAAAATAAGTTTCTTCATTTCATTTTATTTAATAACTTCTCTAAAGCTCCCTAATTTGAATAAAACTCAAAATTCTAAATACATTCTATTCGAAACATTTTTCTTTAGCTTTTGTAATAAAAAAAAATTAAATTTTTATTCACTGTTAAGTTAAAAACTTACATTGCAAAATAATAATAGTGCAATTTAAAACAAACATATTTATTCATTTAAATTATTTTCGAATGTGTTGTCATTATTTGGTTAATATACTTTAAAATATTTCTACCAAAAATTCGCAAATAGTACTATATTTGTTTAAATCTTATAAAATCATGTTTCTAGTTCTTACCTATATTTGATTTTAATGGGCAATTGTAACATCATTTATATCTCTATAAAATTGCATAAGGATTAAGTATATTCCTAATAAGATAGAAATAAATAATTGCTTTTAAATTTTTATTACTAACGAAGTGTTTACTAACAAAAAAATTCCTATTACTTAATGACTGGAATAAAAGTGTGATGAAAGTTCTTTAGGACTAGAGCAATTTTAAAAGAGTAGTTTTCAAAACCACATTAAAGGCCGCTGAAAATCAAATAGGGCTCTAAAACATAAAATAAAGAGCTTCATAAATTATATATAATTTTATTTAAGGAATTATTTTCAGTGAAAAGGTTTACAATTATTACGACCCTAAGTTTCGTGTGCACTTAAAACATTTTAAGTTAATACATCAATTTGTTAAATGNTGTCATATAAACCTCAGAGTTATTAAACTGTTTTATGTTCTTTTCTTTACCACTAATTATAGCTCAGCATCATATTTTCCTCGAGTCCTTTTGTTAGTTAATAAAATTTTAAACTTAGTTGATTTTTTCTTTATGTCTCGTGATGTCTTCAAGTCGAATACTTATAATGCATTATCTAATTGTGTATTGTAATTTGTTTATTTCTAATTGTTTTTATAAATCTGAGTAGTATTTAGTTAAAATTGTATTTTTTCATTTAATTTATTTTAACTAAGAAATTATTGTATTTATTCTATAGCATTATGTTGTTGGGGTTTTTTTACCCGTTTATAATTTAAAATAATAAAATCATAATACAGGGTGACCCACCACTCACTGACAACTTAAATAACTTTTGATCCAGTTAATATTTTTAGCTGATTTTTTTTTTAAATAATAGTTAGACGTTAGGTCTATAGCTATATCTCAATAATTAATTTTTTTACATTTTATTAAAAATATTATTTATTTTTAAATTTTAAATAAAATGTAAAAAAAAAATCTAAGATAGCTATTTTGTAGCGTAGAATTTAAGAAAAATTTTAGTAAAAAAATATCTTATTAATATTCAGTATTAAATATTCTGTTGCGTTTTGAAGTTTGTGAAAATTTGAATTTTCATGTATTATTTTACGGTATTAAACATTGAAATACGTATTGAGAAAATGACAGAAGAAAACGCTATCTTTTCAATATACTTTTGAATGAGAGTGATAAGTAATAATTGCCTTATCTAATTTCTTATCATGGTATTAATGCCAAGTTTGTAATGTATACACATTATCATCATATGTATACACAGTTATCATGAAGATCCATGTACAAACAAACGTATAGTAGTAGGAGTAAATGAAATTTATGATTTTAAAAATAAAAGTGTAGATGATTTTATTTCAACTGAATTAAAAAAGTTGTTTGAAAGATATGACATTGAAATCGATTTTTTAAGTATCAATCCATTGTTGTGGAAAGACAACAATCAATATATTAGAAGAAAAATAATAGTAAATAATTTATAAGTTATAAATGATTTGGCAGAGAGGGGCGTGAAACTCATAGAAGAGTATAATAATATTTTAACAAACGCGAAGCACAAAAACAATATCTATTACAAATTGTTACAGAATACCGGAGTTGTTTTCCTTATTACAATAAAAGCACATTATCCCAAGAATTTTAAAAAAGATAAATTATTTAAAATATGTAGCAAATTTTTTTAGTACGTTTTTTTTTGTAAATAGTTTCTGATTGTATATAAATTTATAAGTTAGGATTATTTTAGCTTCAATGTGAAGCTGAAACGGTATTAATTTTACTCTGATGTGTTTTTTTAATTTAAAATTAAAAAAAATGTAGGTTTTGAATAGTGAATAATAGAAAAAAGGTCGAATTAAAAATGTATAGAAAATTAAATTAAAAACAACGGTTAAATGAATTTTTTTTGTTTTTACAATGAACTATTTATATATTAACAATTTTTACGGTAAGAATAGAACATATACGTTTTTATTTTTTTATGGCTAAATAAGAACTTTTCAAAAATTTTTGTATATATACTTTTTATAGAAAAATTGTATACCTACAAAAAAATTCAAATAAACTATTTCGCAAAAGCTAAAGTTTTTGAGATAGACAAAAAAAACTAAAAAATCACCTCTGGCGGGATATTTTTAACTCCCTTGGTGCACATCTTAGAGTTGACCAATCGTCTCCTAATTTTGTACAATTCATTTTTTCATGTATTCGAATAATTCTAGGGGGTGGCACTTTGTAATTTTTAAATTTTATAAATAAGGGACACCCTAACGAGTAAGGTTAAGATCGCCGATAAAATAATAATGTATTATGGGAGATTTAGAGCGAGTGAAAGACATAACTTGATATTTAGAAATATTTAGCGACAAGCCCAGCGCCTCAAACCAAGTTGTAAACCGGTTCAAGTCATGCTGAAGCTTAATACAATTTTCCTGTGTATTAATTTGAAAAAAAAGCTTCATGTCATCCACAAAACAAAGCAACTTTCAGTTGAGAAGAGTACGACTAACTCCATTTATGAAAAGAGAGAATAAAAGAGGAGACAGATGCCTCCCTTGAGGAACTCCCGATGAGGCTAATAATAAGTCAGAATTAATACTATGTACTTTAACCAATTGGTATCCATTAAGAAGAAAGGAGCGAAACCAACCTAAAAGGGGTTCACCAAAACCTGTTTTACCCTTTTCAAAAGGGTAAAATACTTATATAATTTTAAAATTATTTATTCAAATTTTAGACTATAAAAATATACAGATATTATTTTCACACTATACAAATTCAAACTTCTTTGTAGGAATTTTGGTTACCAATTCATCCTTAAAAAAATTATTATTAGATGTAAGAAACTTATACGGTCTTGAATAAATCGTGACTAGAAAACTTAATCAAGATATGTTAGAAAATTTATTTAATTTCCTAAAAGGAATGGCCGGAAGTGGCAAGCACCAATATAACTGCATTGGATTTTAATTACTGGTTAGAATTTATTTGTTTTTATGTTGAGTAAGATTGCAAGATATCACTTATAATTCAATATATTTTCTAGTTTAAGGTAGTACACATTAGGTAAGCATTCTCACTTAGTATTCATTGAAAATACCAATACAGAAGATAGTTATGAAGATAGTTATGAAGATAGTCAGTTGAATGATACAGAATGTATCTCATCAGAGTTATTCAATAGTTCAGATTTGTTCAAAAATATTTGTAATGATACTGTTGATTCAGAAATCGCAGTATTTGTGAAAAGGAAACAGATATTCCAAAATCAAATTTTAACTTGCTAGAACTTGCGAGAATGTATAGAATTTGTGGCAGATTATGAAGCTAATCGGTTCTCAAATAAAT